GGCAGCCAAAATTTCAAATGCCATATTTAGTTGAAATTTAAATTCGAACTTGACTTTTTTTCTGGAAAATACCTGCATATGCAATCTCAACCTTATACATACATCCTTACAGGAAACTGAAAATATCTAGATCAAGAGGGATAACTCTGTCAAAAATCATCGGACCATGACCAAATTCAAAGTTTACCTGTATTTCTAGTAAAATACATGCATATCTTATGCAATTTAAACCTTATACATACATGCCTACATAAGTTAGAGGGCGGAAACTGAAAATTTCTTATTTTTTTTCTAAGTTTAAGAAGGATAACCCTGTCAAAAATCATCGAACCATGACCAAATTCAAAGTTGACCTGTATTTCTAGTAAAATACATGCATATCTTATGCAATTTCAACCATATACATACATGCATACATAAGTTAGAGGGCGGAAACTGAAAATTTCTTATTTTTTTCTAAGTTTAAGAAGGATAACCCTGTCAAAAATCATCGGACCATGTCTAAATTCGAACTTGACCTGTATTTCTAGTAAAATACCTGCATATGCAATTTCAACCTTATAAAAGTTAGAGAGCGAAAACTGAAAATTTCTTAGTTTTTCTTACATTTTTATAAGTTCAAGAGGTATAACTCTGTCAAAAATCATCGGATCAGCAACTTTCTAAATTGAGGAAGGGCTTAGGATTACTTAACGGCCCTACTTACAGTGGAAAGTTTTATAGATTTGTTTCCACTGTGATGAGAAACAATAAACCCGAAGTGGAGACTGAATAAAAGAAAACTCAAATGCACGTAATGAGTATTTACAGTTTTGAATATTTTAGAAAATTATTTAATTCAGCAATGGTTTCTCAAATCATATTTTCTTTTAGAGGTCTTGATTAATTATGATTTTGAATTTTAAATGAAGTATTACCCATTTTCGACTTGACAGAATTTCACTAGAAGACTTGTGAGTACATGTACAATTACATTCATTATTGATCATGTTGATAGATCACAAAGATGTTCTGGAGGTGTGAGCTCAGATGATACCATATCTGTTTGCTCAGTATATAAAATTTTAGGCAATAGCGCTATTGTTGAGCAGTCATCTAGCATGCAAACCACAGTTCACCCCAAGACAACACTTTCTCGTCTATCAAACGAAGAATTGATTAAGGAAGTCAAGGCATTTAGACGTAGCTTAAGAGAGGCGAAAGCTCAGATATAATCTCTGACAAATGGTATTTATAAACCTACTTATTATAATCTTCGAGGGAAAAGATTACAGATAATTAATTTCTATTCTATCTCATAACATCTGCTTTAATACTAAGATATAAAATAACACACACATATATATATGAGGCGATGTTCCGTATCCTACATTGCAAGAGAATAAAGCTATAAATTTGAAACCATGACAACAGCTATCATATAGCTTCATTGATTAATTAATGATATATACCTGACATATGTTTTAATCATTTCTCTTTATCTGCAATTAATTCTTTCCAACCACCAATACAGTCATGTAGGTGTGACTGAACTGTGGCAAATGAGGTTGGAGAGGGGCTCTATTGTTCCATAGAAGAAAATCATCCAGATTATAGTTTGGAAGGAGCAGAAAAAAGCATTTCAGTCCAATCCTAAGGGTATGAGGTGACATCTTATGATGATGAGATTTGTTTTTTTTTTTTGCAATACCACAGCGCTTGAGCATACAAGTCAATAAGAGATTCTAGAGTGCTAAAATTACCCAACAAATCAACACTCAGAGATTACACCAATCTAATAACACCAGCAACTGGTTTTCAACCATGTGTATTTGAGGTACACGTATCTTTTGTGCAAGTAGATCTGACAATAAGCCATTACTTTAGCACAAACAAAAAAAGTATATGTATACGATTTTCTTTCAATTCTATACAATGCCTCTTTAAACCATTTAAGAATATCTTCAGTGTACTGCACATTAAAAATAGGCTTAATAGAAATGGCCTATGCATATACTGTTCTTTATTGCTATGTTAAATGTTATTTAGGAACTTAAAACGATAGCCAAAGACATCCCTCCAAAGAAAAGGTATGTAGCACTCCTCTATGATGAAATAAAAGTCAAAGCTGACTTGGCCGATTACATGTACAAAAGAAGCGGTCAAATAATTGGATTTACAAACCTAGAAACTTGGACATTCGATGAGGTATTAATGTAGCATCACATTTATTTAAAGAAATGAATTTTAGCAATATAGAATCTTTAATTATTCAGAACTTTGAATAAATGAAATATGTGGAGATAATAAATTCATTTCCTTCCCCTTTCATGTAGGATAAAACCGTTCATGGTAGCTCGGTCGGTAGAGCGCTCGCTCCGTGATCGGGAGGTCGTGAGTTCGAATCTTGGCCGCGACTGACCTAAGTCGATAAAAAATGGGTAGCAACTGTTCCTTCGCCATGCGCTCGGCAATTTGAAGTGAAGTATAAACCGAGGCCCCGTGTCACCGCAGGCGTTGACACGGTAAAGATCCCTCACTGCTCAATGGCCCTGAGTGCCGAGTAAAAGTTAAAATTTGAAGCCCTTCACCGGTATATGGTGACGTCTCTTTATGAGTGAACAATTCTCGAATGGGAACAACATACAATCAATCATGTAGAATGCAGTGAGTAAAATCGCTACTCATGTCCTGGTATATATGGTTATTGGTATTAACTCTCATATCAAAATGAGCGTCGGACATTTTCCTACCCGAACATCAACAGCAGATGTTTTGGAGAGCTGTGGCTTATCTGGAAATGACATGTGAACTAAAAGTAAACAATTTAATAGTTCTGAACTTTTAACATCAAGCCTTTATATAGTCTAAATTATAAAGAACTATTTATTCTGCTAATTAATAAAACTAATTTCATCTCGTGCAGGTCATCACATCTACTAGACTAAGTGACAAACCACCCCCTTTATCAGTACACAGGCTTCACAAAGTTGGAAATGAGACAGTTGTTTAGAAAGCTAAAAATGAATTTGCAGAAGATCAAGAAAGATTCCTTTACTTTATATCAGATGTTACCACTTAGTAACGACCATATGAAACAACATCAGCAAATCAAAGCTAGGTGGAACAAAGTATCTCTGGGTATGTTTACCTTAATCCTGTTGAAGTTTAACTGTTTTCTAGGCTTGTCTTTCAGATCAATTTTTTTCTCATTGTTTTATTATTTCATTTTTTATGGCATTTAATATGTATGTTTGTCATACCGTTATAAATAACTTTCTATGTATTGATTACAAATAAAAAGCTCAACAAAGTAAATGTTCTTTGCATCAGTCTAACAATTTCATTCGTCCATGGCCAATATCGGCGACACGGAAATAGCCAAAGTTTCAAGTTAACCGTATGCTATTTGAAAAATGGCGTTTCGGGAAAATTATGTTTTGTGATAATTCCTGTGATATAATGATTTTATGAATTTTTTCATTTTTGGGATATCATTTTCATTGATAAAGCCAAAATAATAGCTTATAAAACTATGTTTATTTATTGAGTAAAACTGTCTAAAAAGGTTTTCAGTTTAGTGACCTATCTTAAGGGTTTAACAAAACAGTTATAGACTGGGATTCGGGCAACATATGATAGGCCTTTCAACTTATTTTTCAACTTGCACATATGGAAAAAACCATTTTATAGATAGATCTGTAGGTACGTGAAATTCTCAAAAAAAGATAGTAAACTATACATACATTTAATTAAATCCCAAAAATATTGGTATTTGATTTGTACGATGTTATGTTTTAAGGACAGGTAACTCAAGCGTAAAAAACGACCAACAAAGTGCCGATTTATGAGTTATCGTTTATAGGAATGACATATAGGCTGCTTCAGTTGGTATTGTTATGTACACAGTAGGTTTCCTTATATTCTTCGGTACACAAAAGGGTTGACCAAAACAAGGGGAATGTCTTCACTCTCCATGAAATAACTGGATCAAATGAATGGGGAACTGACTATATTCAAGATTTTTAACTCTCTCTGACAGTTGGTATGTATATGTAGAAGAAAATTTAATGCCATGTATTTTACGGGTGCATTGTTGTGCTTCGTCTATAAAGATATATAGTTCTACAATTAAATGCAATAAATTATCTTATTCATTTTACTAAGCACGAATAAGAACGACCAAATATAAAAATTGAATCAGGTGAAAATTAAGAAGGGGGGTAGATTTCACTTTATTAAAAATTTCACTTATATATTATTGTGCAGTGTCGGTAACTACATGATAAATAAGTTAAACATTTGTGCTAAATTTTCAAACCACTGGATTTCGCTGAAAGTGAAGAAACAAAATGCTAAAACTTGACATGCTGAGAAACAGTTAGCTTCCTCGGACCCGCTGTAAACAAGATCCGGTAATGGGTTATCGTTCTTTTCATCGAACCCTAGCGGCAGTTGAAAGGCCTACATATGATTTGTTGGACCTGAAGGTGAAAATGTTGCCCGAGGCCGCAGGCCAACAAATCATATTATGTTGCCCTCGTATCCAGTCAATGACTGTATAATGTTGTATTATTTATTTTCATCTGGGCACGGAGCTACAAAATAATACATATTACAAAATAACAACAAGAGCATTCTCTGGTCTCATGTGACACAGTTACGGACGAGGCAGTTATACAGAACCAAGCTGACCTATGACCATGGCTATTTGACGCCATCATCAACAATGTCTGTTAAACTTACAGTACACAGTTCAGGTAGTCATTTAATTCTAACAAAACGTATTTTTGTTTTTTGTTTTGTTGATGGGAAAATTATGAAAAAAAATGTTTTTGTGTAATTTGTGGAAAGGGCTTATACAGGCAATACCTGTTTATAATTAATTAAATGCCTTTTTAATTAATTATTGATAAGATATTATTCAGGTGATCATGGTTGAAGTGATAACCATCTTATGTACCTGTACATGTATTTTTCTAGGTGCTGAGCAATTCTGTGGCCAAAGTAATGGAAAGTCTACGATGGTTCACATATGTCAAAAACTGCTAAGCTTTTCAAGCTGGTGGACAAATTTTTTGACTGTCTAAATGGTAGATCATTGAAGGAATCAGCTTTCACAAGAAAGCCTGATGTTGCTCCTTACAATTCTCTTAATGACCTAAGATTTCGAGGAAAATCACTTCTGTAACTTGAAAAAACATTAATATGTAATTTCTTAATATCAATAGAATTTATTTCCGTTCGTTTTGGACACAATTGTTGCAGTTCCTTGAGCAGGAGTTCCTACAATACTTGGAGCAATGGCTACAAGCTGTCAGAGCTAGACCTAGATTCACCAAGGCTGAACAGAGCAAAATGTATCTTTCCTTCCAAACTCAGGAACGAATAATTATGACAGGCAAGTTCATTAGCCATTTTCAAATACAGTATATTATAACAAGTAAAATTAATTAGCCCCTGTTTTAATCATTCGTCCCTTTATATTGTTCCCCATGTTAATCTATAATTTTTTTTTTCGTTGAGGCCACCACGTACCTCCTGCAACATGGTGTGCCGTATGTTCTGAACAATGATTTTTGCCAGGGCCCTCTAGAGGAGCATTTCGGAAGACACAGAAGATTGGGGGCAAATTGGGATAGCCCCTGATTCACCAGTTTAGATATTGTTTATTTTTATTAAAATAATGATGATAACTAAGATATAAATAAAATAAATAATTATGAATAAATAAAAGAATTAAATAAAAATTCTAAACAAATTTATCAGTTAAAGCTTTTATTGCTACATGTATGTTTCTATTTATAAAGTTACCAAGAAAACAAACTGCGACTTCAGAAAAGCCTGGCCGTTCAATTTGTCCCAAAGGGAAACACTAGTATACAAGGACAGAAAGGACCAGTGATTGTATCTCACAGTCCACTTAAGAAAAGTTGTAACAGAAGTCAATTGAGAAATTATGTATTATGTGAAATTCTTTTTCCCTGTACATATTTTTCTGTTTGGTACAGCAAAATCATCAATATACTAATAAGTGCTATTGCTTTAATTAATTACTTGTATTTGCATTTCGAAGAAAAAAACAAGAAGCCCATGGGCTACAATACTCACCATAGACACTTTGGCCCTGCTGTTCTACATGAGCTTTTATACCCAATGAACATGTATTCTTACGTAAAATTTTTGATTGCCTTTTGTGGCCTCATCCTATGTACATGATTTATCATACGTCTTGAGTAGAGGGTTTTTAAAGATTTTCCTTTATGTAATCCCTATTGTAGCCCCATCCTCTACCCCCAGGGACCATGATCTACATAACATACAATCTACACGACCTGAAGGGTCCACGATTTGAACAATTTAGAATCTACTCAGCTCTGAAAGCTTCCACATAAGTTTCAGCTTTTCTGGTCCCGTGGTTCTTAAGGAGAATGTATTTTTTAATGAGCCCACCCTATTTTTGCCTTTTCTTGATTTGCTCCCATTGAAAGGGGGCTTGGCCCTTCGTTTTAACAATTCAGAAATCCTGTTACCCAGGGATGCTTTATATCGCCTTTGTTTAAATTTGGCACAGTGGTTTCTTGAGAAGAATTTGAAAAAGTAGAAAATTTACAGACGGATGGACAGCTAGATGGACTGACGCCGGACAACGCCTGATCAGACAAGCTCACTTGAGCTTTCAACTCAGATGAGCTAATTACCCCGTATAAACTGTTTTAAAATTGTTTGATAATAATTGTTTTGTATGATAGATGTTCAAATAAGGTTTAGTCTATACACAAGTACTCTGAAGTTGACATTAAAAAGATGCTTGAGTTTCTGATTGACAATATCTATGTGGTTTTTGGAGACCAGGTCTTCCAACAATCTGTTGAAATTCCCATGGGTACCAATTGCGCCCCTTTATTAGCAGACCTTTTTTGTATTCATATGAAGCAGAGTTTGTCCAAAATCTTATACGTGAAAAGAAGAAAACACTTGCTGTGGCCTTCAACTCGACATTTAGATATATCGACGACGTATTGTTAATTAACAATGGTTATTTCCATTCTTATGTCGATACGATATATCCTGGTGAGCTTGAGATAAAAGATACCACAGAGTCTGACACATCTGTTTCATATTTGGATATTTTACTTGGAAAAGACGTTAATGGTAATCTAACAACCAAGCTTTATAATAAACGTGATGACTTTAACTTTTCAATCGTCAACTTCCCTTACTTATGCAGCAATATACCTTCATCACCTGCATACTGGGTTTATATCTTTCGGTTGATTCGATACGCAAGAGCATGCTCTACGTATGTACAACTTCTAAAACGAGGTAAATTATTAACAAACAAGTTGATGAAACAAGAATATCAGCAGTCTCGTTTAAAGCCATCATTTCGTAAGTTCTATAGCTATAGTCGATACAATGACCTTGTCCGCAAATATAATTTATCATTGAGTCAAATGCTGACTGACGTTTTTCATACTAATTGTTAGGCCATCATTTACACACTGAATTGTCGACGGATTTTCCCGTTATTTCCCGATCATGACAAGGAGCACACGGCGGGTGTGACCGGTCGGCAGGGGATGCTCACTCCTCCATGGCACCTGATCCCACCTCTGATGTTTTGGAGGTCCGTGTTTGCTCTACTCCTATTTTGTATTGTTTAATGGACTTTTGAGCTTGAATACTGTTCGTTATCTCCATATATTTCATTTACAAAGGGCTTTTTTGTTTACTATCAGATGTTGTTTTAATATAGTACTTTTCAATAACATATCTACATATTGCTTGGCATCTTACTTTGTGATATAATGCGCACATTAATAAGAATATCTTTTCCTTCTGTTCTGTTTGATATGTACAATCATAAAACAGGGACGTTACTTTCTTGTCCTAACAAATTGTATCACTAAATTTCTGAAGGGAAGGAACTGAAACTTCTGTACATAAATCCATAAACAGTATCTCCAGAACTACAAAGAAATGTGTTATTTCATGTGATGGTTCTGTCAAAGCACCCCTGGATTTAACAGATATCAATTTTGTATTACCATCCTTGTCAGTAAGATAAGCAAAGTGTTTGATCATCTCCAGATCTAGAGAAGAAATAAATTTCTTTTACATCTAAATAAAACAAAACCTGCTTTATGTGTAATCATATCTCTCTCTCCAGATTTGAGAATACTGCCTGTGCTAGCAATTTGAGGTAGAATCTTGCAAAGGTGTATTTTGTCTGATAACTTCTTCAGCAGTTTTTAAAGATAAAAATGCTGAAAGTTGCTGATTTTTAACTATACTGGAGAGTCTTTGAATCAGTTCAGGTTGGAGATGATGATATGATTGCCATGCCTTCTAACTAACTGCACCAAGGAAGATTTCTGTTTTTATGATTGTGTCAAGTTGCTTTAGAGCTGGAACCAACTCGGAAACTGTAATGTATTTGTTTGTTTGTTTGTTTGTGCATTGTTTAACATCCCTCTCGAGAATTATTCACTCATATGGAGACGCCAACACTTGCCGGTGGAGACCTGCAAATTTTGACCTATACTCGGCACTCAGGGACATTGAGCAGTGAGGGATCTTTTTCATGCTAGCACCTACTGCGACACGGGACCTCAATTTATTCGATCTCATTCGATGGACTCGTCTCCACGTCCCACGGTGGGATTAGAACCTGCGACGCAAGGATCAACTCCTTACTCTGCGACTCTAGAGCAGACGTTCTAATCACTGCGCCTCAGGGTACTATAATTCAGAATTAAACAACTTCCTTTTTAATTTTAATTGTAGACAGGAAACATTAATTTTAATGAGGTCATGATTTGTTTATTTAATCTTTTTTTTTTAAAATAATTCAATATTGTCATTAAATCATTTTTGCAATAGTTTGTAAATTCGATATTGTCTTAAATCACTTATGCAATAATTTATAAATTCAATATTATCATTTATAATTCATAAATTCAATGCTGTCATTAAATCACTTGCAATTATTAATTAATTCAACAGTGAAGCGCCATATATGAAAAGAGATAGTAGTAGCACTTCTTGGTAAGAAAATGACAAAGTAGTGTCTGGCGCTTTTTCTTCTTTTCAAAATTCGAAACTCTCGGATTTCATTCTTGGTAAATGTAAAGCTCTGAGACAAACCGAGCGACACTACGTCACGTGACATACTTTCGTTTTCTGCAGAAGCCAAGGAGTTGTCGATTTTGGATGTTTACGCGAGAAATTGACTAAGACTGTAAATGTAGACGAACAAAGATTAAAACCGCAAGTAAGACCTTCAAGAAAAACATTTATTAAGGGATATGAACTGGCTTGTATGTCTAGTTTAACAATTTAAGCGAGAAAATAGCCGATGAAGCGAGGTGGTATCCAAAATGGCGTCCTCCCTTGTGTTTTTTCTCCGAGGTACTAATTTTCTAACTGATTTATTTTCTCTACACAAGCCCCTGTTAGTCAAGTTTGGTGTGTCACGTTGCTCTTTTCGTATATAATATATCCTGGCATTATCGGTTTTCGATAGTGTAAAACTTTAGTCACAAATTAATCTGTGCATCTATGTTTTTCTCACCTTAACTATTTATGTATTATTAGTCAACAATACGTAAATATATCTGACCTTAATTTGTTTTGAAATCATAAGAATTCCAGTACTGTTACAACTTTCTTTGGATCCGCCATAATCCGAGTTGTTTTGAATGACGTCACCTATTTTCGATAGCAAGTATGGCGCACAGTACTTGGCATAAAAACATAAGATTAAATTAATATGTTTTGGTTTTTAGTTTTGTTTTGTTCGTTCGTTTGTTTGTTTATTTATTTTTTTAACGATCTTAACAAAAATAAATAATTATTAACCAAAACTTTTAATAGAATTTCTTCAATTTTTTTTTGTTTTGAAATTTTATGAAATTGAAAGTTCAAGTCAGGAATCATTGACCGAAATAAAAATGTCAAACACAATGAGGGCATTTGATTTGTGTGTCTCTTCTGATTACTTTTTCCTTCACACAGTAGGAAAGGTGCACCCAGTGTCCACATTGGCATTGTCCCCACCTAACAAACTCAATGTAAGATATAAACTTCAATTGTTCAGGCTCCATTCTATCACAGACGCAACACTTTTCCTCCTCAGCTAATGACTCCTCATCTGACAAATCAACTGATGGACAAGAAGAAGTATTTGAAACCTTGGACGGACCTGCTGTATCTTTAGAAGGACCTGCAATTTGGTTTTCCACTAGCTTTGCATTCCCTTTTCCTTTTCCCTTCCCTTTTCCTTTTGTTGAGTGTTCCGACTTTTCATTGTATGCCTGAATTTTATCAAATACATTCTTTTCTGTTATGGCTTTCCCTGCAATTATGGAACTGAGATTTCTTCTTGGTTTTTTTGCCTTCTCCACAGCTAAGAGGACCTCTCCACCACGCTTGATGAAAAAGCTTTCAGCAGTAGAAGTAACTTTTTAATCAGAGATAACAGTAGCTGTTGTTGAAGTTTTGGTGATGTCTACCTTGCCTTTGTATACAAGAGATGGTAAAGTCCTGCTTTCACTAATTGTTGATGAATTTAGAGGATAAATACCAGTTTTCCTGAAGGCTGATCTTAAATTCTGCACGGGTATATCCATATCCTATCTCAGACA